GACTTGAACAGATGTTTTCTTTCCCAGAAGAGGTCAAAGTTATCCACAAAACTCACAGAATGGTCAGCACAGAGCTTTTCCAAGAAACCATTAAGAGCAAACAGTCTGCTGAACCTCTCAGCYCCTCCTCTGGCTGTAGGAACGGGCCCACTGATCAATACATCCATGTTGATATTTTTAACTTCATTCAGCAACTGAATAAAATCCTTCTTCAGGATTTCTGACTGTCGGTTCATTACTTCATCACTTCCTGTATGAATGATGAGAGTCTTCAGAGCTGGATACTCTACTGAGATTTCCAGAATCTTCTCTGCGAGGTCAGACACTTTATCAGCAAAACTCAGAACTTTGACTTTTTTCTTGTTCCAGAAGCCTCTRATCTCATTCACCATTTTATCTGTAATAATCATCATTTCCTGATTCTTAAATGTCTCTCTTCGAACTTGCTTTGACTTTGAGCTGGATCTGGATCTGGTCTCAGATCCCTCACTGAAATCAGATAGTGAACTTTGTTCAGACTCACCCCTTTCTTCCAGTGGTGTGAATCTGTTTTGAAGAAACACTGCTTCATTTCTCTGKYTRTTATCAGCTGTTTTAATTAAAGCCTTTCGCTTCCTTCTTCTTGCTGGAGGAGAGAAATCATTTCTCTGTAACTCTGGCCATTCGTTGTCATCTAAGAGCTGAATCCTTCCTGAGAGATTTTTTGGTCTGGCACCAACAGAGTTCCATACAGCTTCACCCTCAGAAGCAGCTTCCATCTCCTCTCCATGTTGATCTCCCCTCTCAGCCTTCTCACCCATCCGAACGCATGTTGAGTCCTCCAAAGCATTCATCTCTTCCAAACGATGAATCTTGAGCTCCAACACCGTCACCTTTTGGAGAARCWGGCAGAAATCCTCTTTGGAAAAGTAAGGAGGCATCTTGAAGCTTTTCTGTACTCACTCTCAACAGCAGATGTTTCAAAAATCTTCTCAGGTTCTTCAACAGCCAAAAATAAAATCCAATGTTCTCTGCTTATTCGAGATCATCCATCAGGTCGGGGAAGTCACCAAACCGACAAATTATCCAAAAAACAAAATATGTAATTAGCATTTTAGCATGTAAAACAATTAAAATGAAAATATTTGCAGCTTTTGAGGATTTTAAAATAACTTACCTTCAAAATACATATATTACTCAGTAACCGGACGTTTTGTAGTTTTTGTTTGTTTCAGAAGGACTTTTCACCAGTCTTTGATTGAAGTGGTCTATATTTTTTTATTTAATTTTTTACTGTTTTTCTGAATATTTCCTTTAAGCCACTAAACTCTGACCTAATTCAATTCAATTCAAAAATACTTTATTAATCCCAGAGGGAAATTAGGTAAATAATCAAGAGGCTAAAAAAGACTAAACTCAAAGGATGAACCAGTGTGTCAACAAATACAGAAGTTTGTATAAAAAAAGAACAAAACTCTGTTTAATTTGGTCTTCAGGCAGTTTGTTACAGTTAAGCAGCCTGCCATGAAGGAACAATATAGAAAATATAAAAGTTGACACATTGAACAAGATAATTTCCCAAAGCGTTATCAGCAGACTCACAGTAGACGATCAACAGAAAGATTAGACAAGTGTTTTTAACTCTGACATTTCTCAACTTGCAAACTTTCCTCGTTGTTTTTAAGTTGGCACACAGAACAATTTACTGTGGTCAGGTACAGGTAACTGCACAGAAACTGCAGCATTTTGCTATTTTACTTCTAATAATGAAACAAAACTATAAATAGCCTGTTAATGCCATAACATGATGCTACATAAAATCATTACAAGAACTCCACACCCAATGTGGTTTGAGGAAGCTTCATTATGACGACAATAATCAGTCAGTAGACGCTCCTCCCATAAACATTTAAGTAAAGTTCTATTTTTTTCATTATACTTACAGCTAAAGCTCCTCTAAACATTACCTTTTTTGATTTTCAGTGTACAGTTTCGATCTTTTTTCTATGATCAGAGGATTATTTAATGGTCAGTATGAAAGCCTAAGCAGACACAAAATGGATTAACGGTTATGCAACCTTCAGCGTGTAGATCTGTGGTAGCAGCTTAGGATGCTGCCTTCAAGTTTTTTATTGGATTTCATTTAAAATAAATTTTATAAATGTCTCCTCTATGGTCTCAGTTTAGCTGCATGGTCCTGTCGGAGGAAGTTATTTCTGCAAACATACATGACAAATGCCAGGCCTGAGGTTTTTTAAAGCAAATTTATGAGACGTGTATTTATGTTTCCTATTTCAGGTGCTGCGTTCTCTCAAGATGGGCTCTGTTTTCACAAGCTTCCTGTGCTTCCTGCCTGGCCTGTGCTGCTGAACCATATGTCTGCATGTAAAGTATGATTCATGGCCTTTTTGGTGCCTTCGCATCTCAGAAGGCTTGTGTTTGTGTGCTCAGATGGGGGGTTGGAGCGAGGAGCCCTGATTGGCTGAAATATTTTCTCTGGCAACGAGCAAGCGTGATCCCGCCTGCAGAGGCACTGCAGTGAATGCTGCAGCGAACGGGAGGAAAAAAAAAAGAGATGTGGTCTGTGTGAGAGATAGAGGAGGAGAAGAGGACGGGCGGAGCGGAGGGGAGGGGTCCACACACACCAGAAGACTGAGCCAGAAGCAGCGACTGTGCGTGCGTGCATGTACGAGCGAGAGGACTGCGCATGCGCGACTGTGAGGCGCACTGAGCGGAGCAGACGGCGGAGGAGAAGGAGCGGTAATGAACGGCAGCTGAGGGGATGACAGCAGAGGAGACGGAGAGAAGGAGAAGACTGAGCTTCACCTGAAGACAAGGAGAGAAAGAACAGAAAGGAGGAGAGGGAAGGAGGCGATAAGGGAGGCTCAGGTGCTGTGCAGACTGAGTCGTTTGTGAAAAGAAGGTAGCAAAAAGAGGTGATGGAGAAAAAGATACAGGACGGAGACGACCAGTCACAAGCCGTGGAAAAAAGGCTGAAAGACTGAACGAGAGGGGGTGAAAGACAGGAGAGTTGAAGAGGGGAAAAAAAGGGGGTGCTGAGGTCGACGAAAGCAGCCTGATGTATCCACCTTACATACCCCTCCATCTTACATCTCCTCCATGTTGTTGATGCTCCTAGAATAAAACACTGGCAGGAGAGACCATCCTCCTGTTGACGAGAAATCCTGAAATTGGCTTATCATCAAAGGACGAACGGATGTCTGAAGCATGAACAAGCAGGAAACAAGAAAAGACTGGAATGAGACGAGGACATAGGCAGACAGGTGAGCCGAGGCTTTGTATCATTCAAGAACCTGATGTTTTCATATCTGAATGAGTTAAAGTTCATCTAAATCACCTTTTTTGCGTAAGCATGACAGCGGCAAATTGAGCTATTTATGCTTTGTTTTACGAAAGATGTGAATTGCATAGTTGTTGCATCATGGAGGAACATGTCACACACATATAAGTGGAGGTGCATTATGAAGCCCACACAAGCACAGCCACAACTGGAAACTAAGACCAGACCCTCCTCTCGTGTGAGCTTTTGGTGTTTTGAGGGTTTCCTGTCATCATGACATTTGACAGACCTCTGCACAGACAGAGAGCGGGGGGGTGGGGGCAAGTAACCGAGACGGGGCAAGAGTGGCCTGTTCTGTAGTTGTCAGCAACACTGAGGCATCTTCGTATTGGCCATGCATCGGCGCTGCAGTGAGGGCACTCCATGCTGCGATTGCATAACTGCTGCTTCCAAAATGCACCCCTCCCATTTGTGCGAAGCATTGCGCTGATTCTCCTCCATCCGACAAAAAATATATTTTTTTTTTCATCCGCTGTGTACATCATAAGATTGCAGCATCAACAAACCTGTGCTGAGGCAGCCTCAATCATTTAGCTGCAATCAGTCAATCAATCCGCTGCTGTTACTGAAGAGCTGGGCACTTGTCGAGCTTTTACCTCATAAATCTTCCACGAGGGCCGTGTCAGGGATGAGCGATGCTGGTTGCTTTTTAAATTTTTTTATTTCTTGTCAGCCCGTGTGCAGCTCTGCCATGTTGGTTCGGGAGCTACGCGGGAACAAAGAGCAATTGGCTGTTATGAATTGTGAGGCAAAATGGCCGATGTCTGCCATGAATGAAGGCAGGCTGTGTTACTTAAACCAACACCTCCCTGCACACCCGCTGAGCGCTTTCTGCCCACGATAAATACCCAAACATGAGGCTGCAGTAATGCGCTGCACTGCATATATGACTATTAATAACACTGAAATGAAACAGGATTTTGTTTTTTGCTGAGTTATTGTTTACCTTCCAGAGAAAATCTGCAAAACACAGTAAATCAAAGATTTTGCCCTCCAATTTGTTGTATAAACAAAGTTAAAATCTCAACATAGCTTACATATTTTGACATACTGCTGGCGTGTTGTATAGGGGGCACAGAACCCGCACTCTGTGTTCTGTCAACGCAGACAAAAAGATTTCTGTTGTTGTTGTGTTTGGACACCGGTAAGGAAAGACGAATGGATTGAGACAGATGGATCCGTACACACTGTCTCCATGACTCATTCAGAACAGCGTGCCCTTCATCTGATCCGCACAGGTGGACTCTATCGATGTTGAGCTGCGTGTGAATGAAATACACAGAGGAATACAGTTGGAGAGTGATCTCAGAGGAGTGTTTCAGGTTTGTTGATCTGCTTGTGTTTTTCTCCTTTCTATCAGTGGACCAGTTTAAAAAAAAATGCTGTTTTTTTTCTTATTCTTAATCAGTCTGTTATCAGTTTGTTTATGTCCAAAGGAATGTAAAAGGGTAGTGCCCTGCACGTGATGGGCAGTGTTCTGAGGGTAAGAATGTTCTGGGATGTGTTTGTCTCTAAAAGGTGAATACAGCTTTGTGTGTGTTTAATTGCACGAGGAATTTGCTGCTGAGGTTGACTCCTCTGACATCCCTGTGGTCAGCTCTCCTCTCCCGCCTCTGTCCCGATGAGGTCAAATGATTTCATTAAGGGAATAAGATGGTCCATGACTGTGTACAAACACACCTACACACAATCGCAGTGTTGAAACTGTGGAGAGCTGCAGCAGTTTACGCTGCCCTGTAATGGAGGTTGGGTGGTAGATGAGCTCCTTACATAACCGAAGAGGTCTCTGTCGATTATCAGGAGGCTGCGCCAAAGCCTGCCCGTCAGCAGGCATCCCATCATTTATCAGCCTTTTTTTTTCATGGCGCTGACACCAAACAAGTGGATACATTCAGCTGACTCATCTCCCCCAGAATCAAAGACTAACTTGGCATTTGCCATTAAATTAAAAATATATATGAATTTTTTGGTAAGCTGTAAATCTACTGAATTTGACACGGCTTACTTTTGCTTTGATTGTAGATTCTTAACACACACTTTTGAGTGAAAAGCTTAAACATAGTTGTAGGGGCTTCATTTCTAAAAATTCCACATGAAATTCAAAAAAATAATCAATAAAATGATAATCAAAAAAGTGAATGTCCAAACATGAAGCAACGGACTTAAAAAAAGACACAAAAAGCATAATCTGTAGGTATCATTTTTCTTTTAGTATCTGGCGAAGGTTTGTTTGGCATTTTGTCTCACAGAACAGGCTTTTAGTGTCATCATCTCGTGAATGTTAAGACTTTTTTTTTAAGAATCAAATGAGGTTGGTGGAAGGTTCTTACTCATGTTGGAAACTCAACATGTGAAGAACTCATGCTGTGGTGGGAATCATTTCTTGAACAAATTTAAGGTGGGATGTTTGTGTCAAAGTAACACCCACACTATCACAACGTTGCGTGAACTTAACACAACCCCACATGATAATCAGATGACCGACATTCACTAGTTTAGTTTTTTAGTTTCAAAATGCATGTTTTAATATTGGATCTAGCACAATCTGTCAGTGCTCAAACTGCATGTCCTGATGCATCTCAGTAATCCAGGTAAAAAATCAAAAAGAAAAAAAAATTGTATAGGTCTTCTGGACGGGTTCTTCTCTAATGAAATGTTTCGTCTCTCCTCCAAGAGACTTCTTCAGTCTGAGAGTTTCAGGCAAAATTCAGGCTTTTAAGCCCTGCCTCCATGTGACTGATACTCACATCACACGGCTATCGTTGACACCTAATTAGCACCTATTGTTAACAGGGCGTGGAGTGACACTGGCAATAGCAGCACTGTAGGAGGGGGACAACTGAAAACGGAGGCCTCCACCTCTGTTTAATGATGGAYGGTCTTTCTTCACAAAAATGGCTTCTTTTACTCCTCTCTCAAACCAACGTTCCTCTCTATCAAGAATGAGAACATCCTCATCTCTGAAAGAGTGACCGCTGGCCTGTAAATGAGTGAAAACTGCAGAGTTCTGGCTATTAGATGTAGCTCRTCTGTGTTGGGACATTCTTTTAAACAGTGGCTGCTTTGTTTCCCCGATGTATAACTGGTCGCAGTCCTCCTGGCACTTAACAGCATATACAACATTGCTCTCTTTGTGCCGGGGCACTGGATCTTTGGGGTGAACCAGCCTTTGTTGTAATGTATTTTGGGGTTTGAAAGCCATTGGGACATCATGTTTATAAAATAAACGTCTCAGTTTCTCCGAAACACCCGCATGGTTTTGCCTGAATTTTGCCTGAAACTCTCAGACTGAAGAATTCTCTTGGAGGAGAGACGAAACGTTTCATTAGAGAAGAACCCGTCCAGAAGACCTATACAAATTTTTTCTTTTTGTTTTGTTTTTTGTTTGTTTGTTTTTTACTCAAACTGCAGTCTCTTAGACCACTAAAGCATTAAAAATATAAACCAAATCATATTGTTTTGAAGTTCAGGGTCCAGTAATTACAGTAATTCATGGCAAAATATTAGGTTTTTTTTTTGGTAGAGTTTTCTTTTCTTAACTTTTAAATCTGTTGCCATGCTGGCAGCAACAAAGAATGCCACGAAGCACCTACAAAGATGGTGTCACAAACTCTTGCCTCGTTAGAGTGCCACTATTATGACGCTCAGCTGCTACCATACAACGTTATAGTTCAATATCTGTAAAGTTGTGACATTTTTGTGTTTGCGTAAGCTGATCAGCTGTGGTGATCATCTTGAACTGAGTTGATTCCAAACGTGGCTTTGTCCAAATTCAGGGGCTGCTTCCTTCAAAGGACAAATTTGTCTGGTGAATTTGTCACTGCGCCTCGCCGAAGGCTGTCCAAATTTGAAGGCTCCTCCAGTTGTGGACCACAAATGCGTCCTCTTTTTGCATCGAGTGGAGGAACAGTGGTTCCTTCACAGATCAACCAGAAAGTTTTTTTTAATCACACCGGGGTGAGGGTGGGGATAAAGCCCAAGGCTAAACCATCCAAATTCACAGCCACTGTCTTCCAGTCTTAGCGGCCGACAAAGGACTTGGCCCACCTAGACCGGATAGGCAGGGTCATTTGAAGGACACAGCCCCTGAATTTGGACACAGTCAAGAGTCAGTTGCAGATGTACATCCAATACTTACTGACAATTTCATTTAAATCCACGAATTCTTAAGGCAAACACACACAGGCAATTACATTATTGCCCACCGCTTTGTAGGCTAGATGGCATTTCATCATTTATACTCAAGATGGCAGTTCCTCAGGAAAGTCATGCTGCTTGCTAATTTTATTATGCAGCCCAGCCTTATGAAATGTGAATGAAAGCTGTGTGTTCATAGACCATGTGTGTTAAGAGGATGGGAAAGAAACAAGCCACTTTCGGTGAAGTGTTGCAGCGCTGAAGAGCTGATTCTGTGCATCACGTTTGGTGTGATGGCGAGAGATTGGAGAGATTTTGAGTGGCGCTCGCTAATGGCTCCGTGTGTCTGAGTGGGCAAATATGTCAACAGATTAATGAGGAAAAATGTGGAAAAAATGGCATCTCTGACATTACGAAGTGTTTCCGTCTGTTTTGAAAGGCGCATCACTCTTATTTAGAGTCAGTTTTCATGGGCAGGAAACCATAACGAAATGCACAGCTAAACAAACCATAAATAGAAGCCTTCTTCTGCCCCCCCCCCCACCCTGTCAGTTCGTCACAACGTAGGCTCCCTCCTCTGCTTCGTTTAAAGAAAAAAAATTGTTTTCCCTTCAATGACTCATAGCTGTTGACAGCCGAGCACAGAATGAAAAATGTGTCATCCTCCCTTCATTGCTATTGTTTTGGTCAAGTTAAAAATGTTCACTTGCACACTTGCTTTTATTTTTCACAAAGCCCACTCGCAGTATAACACAAACCCACAATGCAGATTGTGACCTCTTCCTACGCATGATGGAGTCAAAAACCAACACAGCTCACAAAAAGATGACGAGTGTTGACAAGAAGCAGGAAGAATGGAAAGAGCAGAACCGCAGCTGTGTCACAATTACCTGCTCTTTCTACATAGTGAAGAAATTCACACTTACTGCTTTCATGTAGCAACTTTACAGCACATTTTTTCTTATATAGCCTAGCTTCTATTAAAGGGGACCTATTATGCAAAATTTTTTAAGTTTTTTTTACTCTACTTTATTTCTTAAAAAACAGCCCTAGGACCAAAATAATGCACCCAGGGGTGTATTTACTCTAAATAAATGTATTTTTCATGTATATTAATGTCAGGTTTTCAAATCCCACGACAACCCACCCCAACCTGAGTTCAGCCCCCCACCTTCCAACCCCAGGTGAGGCTCCACCCACTTCAGTATAAAAGGCCGTCACGGTTGTTTTTCTGAATTTACCGCAGCACAGTGGCTCCTATTAGAGTTAGATGTTGTGTTGTTGGCTGCATTACACCACATGTTGATGCATACTCTTCCAGTCACAGAGAACAGAGATGCGTGGCTTTCTTTTATTTATAATGACAATGTCCCTGCGACATGTGTTAGCTTTTTATTGGGCAACCAAAAAAAAAAAGAAAAGAAATATAATTTATTTTAGTTAAGCGTATTACTGAAACTGGTTGTAAATGTTTAACATACTGTTTATTTTAAGTCTTTTTACTATTTTGAAAGAAAATTCTGCTTTTTCTGAATGCCAGTTTCAGTCCAAACCTTGCATGCTGTTGTTATGAAAGGAGTCTCTGTTAGCACACAGAGATCAAATCAAATTTGATTCACACTTTGGGAACATTGGGTACCATCAGCACAGGACACCTTAAGCTTATAGTTTCACTGGACTAAACACAGTGTGTGTGTGTGTGTGTGTGTGTGTG